CTCTCTCTCTCTCTCTCTCTCTCTCTCTCTCTCTCTCTCTCTCTCTCTCTCTCTCTCTCTCTCTCTCTCTCTCCCCCACATAATAATAACAAGTGAAAATGATTAGTTTAATGATATTAAAATCGGTGGTTGCACACAAAAAAGAACGATAACCATATTTTTGGCATGTTTATTCGATCGATACGATGCCATAGCAAATTGTTCTAACAAAACTATCCAATGAAATGGTAATGAATTCGTTAAAATCGATGGACCCGGGACGTGCTTCGTTGGCAATGATGGACATAAAAATGTCAATTTATGTGCTGTCAACGACAAGACCGTAAATCCGATAACAGAAAATAGAAATCAATTTATTTTATTTGTCTGAATACCGTTGTAAGTGTACGTGTTTTATGAGCGTTAAACGGATTATTGCACAGATTTTTATCTACAGTCTTTTATTTCGTATTTGTACGTGCAGATGCATAGCTATAGCCAGTTAAAATGTAGACCACGCTCGCTGCATGTTCGCTGTTCGATAATAAGCAAATTCCTGCAAACATTTCTCTCCGTATACATTCCACAAAGCCTCACACATGCATACGTCCACACGATGCGAAAATGAGAATGAGAAAGAGAAACACCGCCTTGACGAGGATCAAACGTTTTTCAACCTCACAATAAATTAAATTCAATTAATTACAACATGCAAAATGACACTTTTAGCTGAAGAATGTATGTCGTATTTCCTAAATACGCTGTCAATTGATTCCCATCTATTGTGGGGGTTTCTTGTGCTGAATATTTTCTTATTGGACAGCACATAAAAAATGTCATACATGCACACCAAGAATGGAAGTAATAAACAAAGACATAAGGAATGAACGAACGAATGGAAAGGAAAGGAAAACAAGGAGAAAAAGAGTGAAGTAACTACACAAATTCGAACACAACGCATTTCACTCGTTCATAATGTGCACAAATTAGAATATTTATCGTTGCTGTAATGCGCAATGTGTGCAAATTTCGGACGAGAGATGCCATTATGCCACACCAATTCACACTCCATTCCCCGGCCCTCAGCCCACATTGGCCCCCAAAACAATAATATTAAAAGACATTTTTTTCCCTGTTAGTCACCCCTTTTTGACAGCATTTTTATACGCTGTACATACATTTGCACATGTATATGTGTTTGTGCTGGTTTCACCAGAGCTGGAAGTTTCGTCTTATATCATTTCGGGTTTCCATCGTTGCTTACATACTTGGTTAGTTCTTATGCTTGTTCGACTAAGTTGACAGATTCGTTGCAAAATCCAATGCATGCAGCGATATATGCAAAGATGCCATATGTTTCTCGCACATTTTTCCCCTCTCCAACTTGCCAATTGTTTCAGATGAATATTCAAATCTTGGAAGATTTATCGAAATGACTTCGGGTAGGGCGATTTTATGTAGTTTAAGCTAGTGTATTTACTTTTTTAATGTGGGAACAATTTTTTTTGAGTAATCGGCTATAGAAAAACCGCTCCTCTCAATTGTTTTTTCTGTGAACTTTAACCGAATGTGTGAAATTCAACCGAGCGATTCTATCAAAAAATTTGATTCCAAGTGTGGAGCTTGAATGTAACAGGAAGAGCCAATGTCAATGCAATGTGCTCCGAATCCACATGAAAACGCTGAATGCACAGAGCTCACAACATCAGTTTAGATATCCTTATCAGTCACACATCAACCGTTTGTTCGAATGTGCAAATGTGTAAGATCAAGCTATGAAATTGATAACTAAGCCGAATGCAGACACACACGCACACACATATATATATATCATATAGTAGTATAACACTGACATGCAAAACACACATTTGTAGTATCAACAATATTTACCAAACGAAAAACCGTTTATCTTTTAAGTGTTTTTATTTCGTTTTAACAATTTGCGCGCTCGCAATACTCCAGTGAATAGAGAGACAGACAGACAGACAGACAGACAGAGAGAGAGAGAGAGAGAGACTGAGCAAAAGCTAGCGAATAAATTACAAACGGCACCGACATAAAAAGATACGTATGCGGAAAAATGAGACATGAAAGAATCCAGCCTATTTGGTGGGACGAGACGAGGCGACGACGAACACGCATAAGCCTGAACTGATTCGCACAAAGCGAGAGACGGGTGAAAACGCGATGAACAACACCATGTTAAAAGAATAAAAGAAATAATATTTGTGAACCATTTTGCGCTAAGGCGCACCACAACGCAGTTTATATGGCGCGAAAGAAAGAAAAAACACTGCAAATCACAGTAAATTTAATTTTAAAACTACGCGAACACGGTCTGTGTGCGCTCACACAGATAATACAAAAGATAAAGAAATTGATGTGCAGTTTGAATGGTATTTGAAAGCGCATGGAAAAAATGAAATAATAAAAGCATAGACCACTTTTTTCCTGGTCGCAGCAATGCGAATGGAAATCCGATAGTTCGCTTTTATATGCTTTTTATGTTTGATTTTTCTTTGCTTATGCTGCGTATATTTGTCCACATTCATCTCGCGCCCAGCAAGTGGATGTCTATGTAGGGTTTTTTTTCCCGTGCGCGTTGCATTGTTTTGATCCAATTTCACGGACAAGTAACCGAAGCTTCAATGCTTATCTTCTAACAAAGTGTCTAATTAATAATGCTTCTTCCTTGTTTAGTAAGGTTACTGTGCATTTCACAGCGCACATTAAAATGATTTTTCAACTAAAGCGAGATATCAATTTTAAAACTTATGAAAACCATTTATTTAAATGGGCAACAAAGATGTCGACCGTACGTAATAAATTTACAAACAAATCAGGTCATGTCGAAAATCAAGATATTCACAACCAGAGCGGATAGAAATGCCTTTTTGCCTAGAGCCTAGGCATTTTGCC